CATCATCCTCAACATCATCATCATTCATCACCATCACCATCGTCATCACAGTCATCATCATCACCATCATCATATTCTTCGTCATCAACATCATTCATCGCCATCATCATCAGCATCACCACCACCATCACCATCATCATGAACATCATTTATCATCATCATCCTCATCCTCATCATCATCGTCATCATCATCATCGGTTCGCCCCGTGCCAGCGACCCCCCAGCAAGCGGGAAGCCGCCGCGCGCGCGGCGACTCCGGCCCCATCCTGCGCCAGAAAGCACAACAGCAGGAGAGGTGGGAGCCGCCACGCCCCCGCGGTGGCTCCGTGTAGAAAAAAAACACCGCTGCGCAAACGAGAGCCGCCGCGTGCTCGGGTTGTCTGCCCAATCCCACGTGGAAAAACAAATACCGCAGATAAAACCCCCAATCAGTGGATGATTTGAAAAATTAGTGGTATGGATATTGAGGTCGACTGCGAGATCGATAGTGAGATCGATAGTGGAACCGACAGTGAGGACGAGTGTAAGGTCGATCGTGAGACCGATAGTGAAGTCGATTCAATGAGATCGATCGTGCGATCGCTCGTGCGATCTATAGTGAGATCGACTGTGAGATCGACAGTGAGGTCGATTGTGAGATCGATAGTGAGATCGTCGATAGAAGAGGTGGGTAATGAGATCGATGGTGAGGCCGATCGATGAGAAAATCGACCAGGAACCCGGGAACCCGGGAACCCCGCCGCCCACCGAAGTCGGCCATGAACCTTGAACCGGAGACCGGGGAACCCGAACCGGGAACCCGGGAACACGGCCGCCCACCGAAATCGGCCCGGTAGGAAGAGAGGACAAACAAGCAACAACTACACGCAGGCAGCACAACGGGCATCGGTAAACACCACACACGAAAGTAGTAGCCGCACGTGGTCTCTCTGGGAGTCGGCGGAATGGCGTACGTAAGCCTCATGAACCACCTCGTCAACAACATGCCCCGAATCGAGAGGACCACGGCGAGAAAAGGATCTTAACAACCATTCCTCTTTCCGTTTTGCTGGGGATACCCCCCCCAGAAGCTCCAGGACGTACTCCCCGAGCCTGAGGGGGAACGATATGGTTAGGTCGGGCATGTCCTCCTGCAGGCGGAATTTGGAAGACTATCAAAAAATGTCACCAACAAGACACAACTAATCACAAGAGCGCGAACAATCGTCCCCAGACCATGCTGTAACTGTTCTGGAATATTCCTCCTGTAGAGGGACATGCCCGACTTAACGACATGGGGGGAGCAGCGGAGCGGGGGGGCGGGGAACATCACCCCAGAATCGGCGATACATTGCCGATGAAGCGGCGATTAGGCCCCCGGTGGCGAATCCGCACTCCTGGGCGGGGTGGGCAATTGGGGTCATTGATGCGGCCCCCCTATACCCCTAACGTTGCTCCTGAGAGCCTGACTCCCCTTGTCTGGGACAGGGCTCCACCCGCTGTACCCCCCCGGCACGAGAAAAGCGCCCGCCATGCCCACCAAACCCCCAGCCGCCCACCCCCCCCGCGCGGGAGAGTGCCGCGCCATCTCCTCCTCCGCGCCCTGCACCGCCTCCGGCGAGCACCACTCCTCGAGGGCGCGAAAGAAGGGGGGGGGGAGGGAAGGAGGGAGCGGAAAGGAGGGGAAAAGGGGCGGGGGAGCGAGGCACGTGTCCTTCAAGTCCCCCTCCCTCTCCTCCCACGATAACGCTCGTCGAAGAGGAGGAGAAGGAGGAGGAGGAGGAGGAGAGGGAGGAGGAAGAAGAAGAGGAGGAGGAGGAAAAGGGAAGGAAGAGCATGAGAGATTAAAGAGTGGGCGAGGAAGGCGAGGAGGGGCAGGGGGGATGAAGAGACGAGAAAAAGGAGGTGAAAATGAGATTAGGGGGTGGAAAAAATCCGTCACGGACCTCAAGACTTCGAGGCGATACAGTCGGGGCGTTGACCTAAGGAACGACAAATAAGGAACGAGGCCCCTTTTTCCCATAAGTTAAACTCAGATTTTCCTTGGAAAACCTCAGGAAGACCCAAGGAGCACTGTAAAACAAGTAAGGAACACGGAGCCCCTCCCAAACGAAAAAGGTTCCTTCTTCAGCGGCCCGACTGTAGTGAGCCAGTCAAGCGGACTCCAGGACAAAGGAAGGGAAAAGGGAGGACAGGGAGAATTTGAGAAGGGTGGACAAGTGGAGGGGGCAGGATGGGAGGGGGAGCGAGTCCAGGAACGGGAAGGGGTGTGTGATGGGAGGGAATGACCAATCAGAAGCGGGAGTGACGGGGTAAGGGACGGGAAATGTGACGGCGAACGGAACACAAAATACTCGCCTGACATGGGGATGCGGGAAAACTCGCACACGCCCTCGTCCCGCGAATTTGTGTTCCGTCTGTGTGTATGTGCTTTTCCGCATCCCCACGGCCAGGGGGGGGCGAGAAGAGGAAAATGGGGATGACGGGGGATGGGAAAAGGCGGCAGGGGGCAATCAAATTC